TATGTTTAACACAGCATTATTTACCATAGCTAAGATATGGAACCAACCCAGATGCCCCTCAGTAGATGAATGGATGGAGAAAGTGTCATTCTTTCTGATGGAGGCATAGAATATATTCTGCCCCATTTCTTAGGGGTTTTCTTTTGATCAATTTTCATAGTTTGTTTTTTTAAGCTTTTGTGTGTGTGGATGAGCTGTCTTTCTTAATTTCTTATCACGTTCATCATTAGTTTATCATAAAAATGCCATTGATTTTTTTGTGTATTGTATGCTGTAACTTCTCTGAATTAATTTATCAGTCCTAATAATCTTTTAGTAGAGTCACTAGAATGCTTTATTTATGTGTATCAGCAGTGTCTTATCCTCCTTAATAAATTTGATTAATGTGGTTTATTTTTAATGTATGTAGCTTGGTTTTGAAACTATCTTTGACTCCAGAGTCCAGAATTTTAGAACACTGTGTGTGTCTGTGTGTCTGTGTGTGTGTCTGTGTAAATCTGAGGTTGAACTCAGGGCCTAGTTGTTGTCCCTGAACATTCTTTTGCTTAAGGCTATCACTTTACTACTTGAATCACAGAGGAATCTAGAAAGATGAGAGTAGAATAGGAATTTTAATGTTTAGATTCCTCATTTACTTAACAAGCCAATGTGTTAACTGGTTTTGTGTGGTGTGAGATACGCACATTCATATGAAAGCAGAATTAATATTCATAGAGGTTTTAATTTTAACCCTCATAGCCTGTTCTGTGTGCATTTAGTCATTGAGAATAAATTAATTTACTTATTTTTATTATATTGATAATGGTGTTAATATCAGCTGTAACAGATTTTTCTCAAAGATTCCTGGCAAGAGTAGTTCTATCTCCTTGGGACTTGTTGGAAATCAATTTCTTGCTGCCTTAGAGCTAGTTAGAAAGGAATAAGGGAAAAGGAATAGCAACTCACCCAAACAAAGCTCTCAGAAATGTGAGAGTCATTCCTTTGCGAAATGTATTGTTTTCCCTTGCATCCTTTGAGTCTTAATCATCATCCTGGAATATGTAGTCATTTCATTTGAATTATTGGAGAAATAAGAATTGAAGAGATTAAATAACTTATTCCAAATCACACTGCTATTTGGTAATATTCTAAACTATAATACTTGGTTTTTTTTGGTATGTCCCTTTGTTCCTTTTGAGTTAAGTGTTCTTGTTTTTTAATAATTATGTAAGCTTTTATTCATTATTTTAGCCAGCATTTTGTGTGAAGAATACTTTTTGATGAGTCAGAAATCTGATTTCACCAAACATTATTAAACTAAATGGCTTAACTAAAAATATAAATGTAAAGTCTTTTTTTAAAATATAGCCAAGCCAATATCAAATAAAAGCATTGATAGTTTTGTCCAAAAAATTTAAGCTCGTCATCTGTATTGACTCTAATCTTATGTTTTCATATCATTTTGATGCCTTAACTATTTATATCAGTTACTGAAAAATTTATAAAAAATTTTCAGTTCTCTTTTCAATTTTTTGTTATCTGTAAGTAGTACAAAGGAGCTACTATTCAATACATCTGTTTATGAAGACAAAGCTTCTTTAATCTGTTACCCTTTTCATCATCCCTCCCAACCTTATGTGTTTTTTAATTAGGTAGGATTTGATTAAACTTAAACATTGTATTCTTTTCTCCTCTTCCTGTCTTGATTCATTTACTCCTTTTCCTTGATTTCACCCTCTACCTTTGGACTACTTGTTTTCATGTACTCATTTTGTTGGGCTGTGAGTTAGCCTTTCTAAGGAATTACACCATTTGAATTCTTGCGGGAAAATAATGTATTTCTCAGGGTTTTTTTAATTTTCAAATGCTAAAAACAAAGAGTTTACAATTACATAAGTCAGGCAAAGAATACATTTCCTTTTGGATAATGTCACCCCTTCCTTCTCTCTCCTAGTTTGTCCCTTCCCTACTACCTACAAGTTACACAGTTCATTTTTAACTTTGCGTCCAGTGAATACTATTGCTTCATTTGTTCACACTTTGTCTCTCCATTTCTGTGTCTTCCCTTACACTCCCAAAGGCATACAGACAAACAAGAAAAAAAGAAAAAAATAGTAAAAAATAAATAATAAATAAAATCTCTTGTTTCTACTTCATAGAGTTCATTTCAGTAAACATTATTTACAGTAATTGTGCCTTTTTTTCAGATTACTTAAGCCTTTATGACTATCCCAGAAATATTTGAATAAGTTAGTAAACGAATAAAAATATAACAAACACATTTTAGTTACAGTTTTTGCACAGTTTAACATTAGGGAATGATAAGGTTTTGTAGGTAATCAATTTTGTTTTTAGATAAGAGAAAAAAAAGTCTGCCCTGTCAAAGTCACACTTGAAATGCCCCAGTCTTTTGCCAGAGATAGGTAGACTTTGACAGATTTTTTGATTGGTGAAACTTCAGCAAGGCTTTATGGCTAATAGAATTTTCCATCTTACTTAGTATTAAATAGCTTTTGCCAGTAATTATGAGAATATCAGTATTTGAACTTAAATAATAGGTGAATATATTCCTTTATTCAAGTCAGAAAATCTGTCAAGATCAGATTTTATTTTCTTTGGCTTTATGTAGAGAAAACAATACATTTTTAAGTTCCTATAAAACTTTATGAGCTGAGGAGGTGGGAGGGAAGGAATGGTAAGGGAAAAACAAAAGAGGAGGCAACAAGGCTGGATAAGAAATGTACTCATTACCTTGCTCATGTGACTGTAACCCATCTGAACAGTATTTTCACAATAAAAAACTTAATCACATTAAAAAAATAATGAAATACCATTTTTCTAGTCTTTATAAAGATTCTTTCAGCCAGGAATATAAATAAGAATAAAAGAAAGGAGTGATTAGTGGCCCATATTTGTTGCCTGTTCAATGATAGAGTTTATGACTAGTATACAGAAGATTCAGTCATCAGCTCTACCCTTAGCTACTTCCCACACTCCTTTCTGTCTGTATTGGTATTTATATTTATTTTAATATATGGCAAAATAAACTCATCACCAAATAAGTTAAAGTTTTGATAAAATATAAAATCTCAGGCTTTAATACCTCAATGACTGATTAATTTGTATTTAATTTCTTCAAATGACTGATTAATTTGTATTGAATTTCTTCAAATGACTTTGTATGCTATTTTTCTCTTCTCTAAACTCATTGAGAGATTTTCTTTGAGGTATTTCTGGTTTTCTCCAGATTATCTGTTCATCTTTATAAGAATATTAGTTACGGGTCTGGGAAGGTGGCTCAGTGGTAGAGCACTTGCCTTGCATGCATGAAGCCCTGGGTTCGATTCCTCAGCACCACATAAGCAAAAAGAAAAAAGCTGGAAGTGGCGCTGTGGCTCTAGTGGTAGAGTGCTTGCCTTGAGCTGAAGGACAGAGTTCAGGCCCCATGACTGGAACCAAAAAAAAAAAAGAATATTGGTTGCCGGGCACTGGTGGCTGATAAGAGGATTTACTTCAGGATGAATTTTAATTAGCACTTTTCTTGGATAGGTTTATAGACTCAGTTAGTTTTGTATTCCTGACTAAATACCTGAAACAATTAATTTTAAAAGGGAAAGGTTTCTTTTGGCTTGTGATGTCAGTTCATGCTTGGTATGTTTTAGAGTGTATGGCAAAGCAGCTCATAATGATATGGAGCCTGTGATAGAAGAAAGCTGCTCACCTCATGTTCTTTGGAAAGCAAAAAGATGAGAGGAAAAGATCAGCAACCCACCTTCCCTTTGAGGACTTGCCACCAGTAACAGACCTCCCACTAGTGCTCTACTTATTAAAGTTTTCATCACCTTCCAATATGGAGACTAAGTTTTTAACAAATGGCCTTGTGAGGAACATTTAAAATCTACACTATAGCATTTTCCTATTGGCTCCAAATGCTCATATCTGCCAAACCATGCAAAGTGCATTCAGTCCACCTCCAAGAATCCCTACATTTCAATCATTGTAGCATTCCTCAAAAGTCCTAAGCCAAATTCTTCAAGTCCCAAGGTAGACTATGCTGGGTGTCCCTATAAAAATTAAAATAAAATAAACACATACTTTCAAGCCATAATGGCATAGGGTAAACGTTCCCATTCCAAAGGCAAGAATAAGAAATAATGTGGAGGAAGCAGACCAAAGCAAGACTGAAATCTTGAAGGACAGACTTTAAATCCTCAATCTTTACAATTGTCTCCCAGCACACATTGTAGGGGATGTGGGCTCACAAAGCTAGAGTGGTCATCCTTCTTTGGTTTTGCTGGTTGCAGCCCACCAAGGCTACTCTTTCCGGCTGTCTTGCATGCTGCCTGCAGTTTCTCTAAGTAGGGACACTCACACAGTGTAAATGCAACTGGAGACAATAAAAGAAAGGAGTGATTAGTGGCCCACATTGGCTGTCTGTATGTGCCTTCTTTCCTGCAAGATGTTTCTTCTTTGGTCTCCACTTGGCCCAATAATTACTTCAACCACATCCTTTGCAAAGAGCCATTACTTTGATAAAAATAATGTACTTATCTGTATGAACAAACTTTTTCCAAGTGTACATGATGTGAATGTAAACATCATGAATCATGTCTTAAAATAGATATCATTACACTTGTTACACTCTAAGTATACTCTAAATTTTATAGAATTTTTTATAAATCAACTTGTAGGCTTAATAAAGATGTTATGAAATTTTGTTTGATATATACTTTCTAAAATAAAAATGGTAGAGAATTTATGAATTAGACATTCTGTTTTCAAAAATTAGTAATTGTTTTTTATTTTTAATATATATTTTATTGTAAAGATACTGTACAGAGGGGTTGCAGTTACATGAGCAAGGTAATGAGCACATTTCCTATCAAGCATTGTTACCTGCTCGTTTGTTTTTCCCCTACTATCCTTTCCTAGTAATTGTTTCTATAGGATGATTTTTCCAAAGTATTAAACTACAATTTAATGAGCTGTATTTTTATATAAACTGCTTTCCTTATTTTTAGGTGATGGTGTTTGTACATGCTCGGAATGCCACTGTCAGGACAGCTATGGCTCTAATAGAAAGAGCAAAGAATTGCGGCCAGATTTCCTGCTTTTTACCCACCCAAGGACCTGAATATGGACATGCAGAAAAACAGGTAAGATGCAAATAATAACAACGTGTCAACAACTAGCACCCTCAGAGGGCCACATGTAGCAGATATAGTAGATATTAAAGGTCTACCATCTATATAATTTTAAGAAATCAGTTTTACAGATTTATTAACTTTCTCACTGCATAATTTTTCATTAGCGCTTCCATCCATATGGTTCTAAGTGAAGTACTGTTCCTAATGTTAAAAAAATTAGTTAAAATATAAAATACACTTAAATGTCATCAACTAGGTTAACATCTAGAATAAATACATAAATTTTAAAGTTCTCAGTTTTAACTCCTAAGATTTATATTGATAGGTATAATCTAAATAAGCAAAAGTTCTTTTTAAGAATGTAAAGGAATCCTAAGAACAGAGGTATGAAATCAGCTTTCTTACTACTCTTCATATGCCCTAAGGACTAAAGAGCCTGGGGAACACCTCATCCTTGTTAGGAAAGCAGAATCTTTAGTCCCACCTCAAGTTTACCAAATAGGAGTCCTTCATTCAGATTCCCAGGTAATTTTACACATTACAGTTTAAGAAGAATTGATTTGGGTAATTTGAGTATTAAATATCTTAAGCTTCAGTTATTTCAATACAATAATGATTTTGATCAAGATTGCATAAACTCAGGTTATCACTCACTCTATTTATAAGACATATAAAAATAGTTCTGCTAATTTCTCAAAACTAATCCTTTAAATTCTTTCCATTAAGTTTCATCTAAATTCAGGGGAAGGAGATTATACAAACTATAATCTTACAGCCAAGGTGGGCATGCTTTTCTAATTAAATTTTTATTAGTACTTAGCCAAACCCTTTCCTTTGTTGTCTCTGACTTCTTTCTTGTACTACAGGAGAATTAAGTAGTTCTGACAGATTATGTGTCACTCTGTCCCTTTAGAGAAAAGGTATGCAGACTCCAATTTAAAACTATGAAAGTAAATTAAAAATCACAAGGTATAACTATTCACTGAATAGCTACTTCGAGACATTATGTTGTGCATTTTCACATGATTGGCTTATTATAGTATAATTAATTACCCTTACTGCACTGTGAATTCACCATTTTGTTTTGACATATTAAGTTCTGACTGTACTAAGCTGATGATAGTTGTTTTGAGCATTCTCTTTCAATTTAGAGTTACAAAATATGTTCATTTTTTATTTCATAATTTAACATCTATTTTACTCTTGTGTTCTTGCAGTTGTTTATCAGTCCTACATGAGAGTTTTTGAAAAGTTTTGGTATTCATGAATCTTATTTCTTTTACAAATTAAAAAAAAATTAAATAATTCTGTTTTAAGCTAAGTCTTGAGAGCCACCTTGTGGATTCCTGGTTATTTCATACCCCTCAGTTCCAAGAACTCTTTCCTTTCTAGATATTTTATAATTATTATTTAATTTTATATAATGTGGAATACTTACATATTGCTTAGTAATGCCAGTCATTGCTTTTATTGGGAATATATCTTATTCAAACCCTACAACAACCTATGATGGAATTTTCTACTGTTATTACACCTCTGTATTCCATATCTGTAATTCAAGTATGGCATCAAATATTCTCAAACATATTGTTATAATTTATGTAGAGACATTTTGAGATTGTGTTTGTTAAAGGAACTGTTACCAAACACTAATTTATAGTATAGGTACTGAAAAAGTATTGGAAATTAGAAGTTTTAATAAAGTTGGATAAGGTTCGAAATCCCTAGTCATTTTTACCTGCTGTTACATTTTTTATTATACTTGACTTTTATTCTAATTGCTTTTGTTCTTGTAAGGCAGGCATTATCATTGATTTTATCTGATCACTTTTCTATCCTTTAAAGATTACTACCCCCCAATAAAAGGTCCATTTTATAAATAAAGTGAAATGGAGACAGTAGGTAATTTTGCTAGTGACTCTGTCTGTTACATAGTAAAGCATGATTTGAGCCAGTCTGGCTCCTAAGCCCATAGTTTTCATGATGCTATACCCCATTTCTTCAGAAGCAAACAAATAAAATACAACGTGGGTGGGACTTGTTTTCTGGTAGAATCAGTACTTAAGTTTAAATTCAGAACCCCACCATTGAACTACAACCCTAACCCTTCAAATCTGGGACTTTCTAAAACATTTAGTGCAAAGTCTTTTTTTTTTTTCCAGTAAAACAGAAGACTGTTAAACCAAAAGATACTTTTTCTCAATGTTTTCTCAATACTCCAGAATTTATGATTTTTTTCTAGTGCTATTTTTATATTTCTCATTTGATAAAGTTCCCCTTGAATGTGAATATTAATTTCCAAGAAATTCCTAAAAAGCTATTATTGTGATGGTAGGAAATATTTTATTCCTGTGATTTTGAAAAATGGAAAATTAAATGTTTGAAACATTAAAATAAAATTAGAAAGTAAGGATGCTGTGTAGGTGCACAGAAATTTATCCTCATGGTCCCCATTAATGGAAATGTAGCTAAGTCCCTACTATGCTGCAGTGATGCTTCAACCCCAAGGGTTTAATGTAATGACTTTCTAAGTAAGGCCATTAAAAGCAGGTTTTTGCAATGTTATTCAATACAGTAACACTTCATTTGCATAACTACACTCATCTTATTATTCATATATTTATGTTTGTGTGTGTATGTACTTTCACATGTGTGAATGAATATAACAATGCAATTTCTTTATGGTTTCTTTGTCTTAGCCACAGCTGAAATGAATCTTGTAGCAATTTTATCTTAGAACTCTTCACTCTATTCCAGTCTTTAACCTCACTGTCACCCCCAGAATGGAAAAAACAACAACAAAAAAAACCCTGTATTTCCAAATTGTCCAATGAAATAAAGTAGCATGAAAAACATAAAGTGTCCCAAGAATAGTTTCAACTATGGAAATAAACTAGAGTATCTTATCTCGGGAATCCTCTTTGAGACCCAGTGGAAGAGGGCACATGAACACATGCTTTTGAGATTTCACCTTAGGTATATACACAGTTTGGAAATTTACTTTCTTTTCTATCAGAGAATTTTCTTTGTCCCTTATCAGTTCCCTTCACCTTGACAGATACTAAGCCTTGCAATCTTTTCCAAGAAAAGATGAAAAGAAAGAGTTAATTTACACCAAGCGTTTTTTGTTTGTTTGGTTGGTTTTGGTTTTTTTCTGGTCATAGGTCTTGAACTGTGGGCCTGGGCGCTGTCCATGGCTAGCATTCTACCACTTGAGCCACAGGGCCACTTCTGGTTTTCTGATGGCTTATTGGAGTCTCACGGACTTTCCTTCTCGGACTGGCTTTGAACCATGATCCTTCAGCCTCCTGAAGGAGGCTAGGATTACAGGTGTGAGCCACCAGTGCCCAAGATTTTTTTTTTTATTTTTAATTTAATTTAAATTTTCCTGGTATGGGGAGATTTGGACTCAGAGCCTCATATTCATCACTCTGCTTTTGTGCTGACAGCTGAAAATCTACAATTTGAGCCTTTTGTTGGTTAATTGGAGATGGAGTTCTATGGACTTTCTACCCAGGTTGATTTAAAACCATTATTTTCTCCAGTTTGCAACTTCCTTAATAGCTAGGATTACAGACATGAGCCACCAATGCCTGGCCAACACCAGCATTTTTATCACAAAACAATTTTTTATGTGAAACATTTTTCTGATGTTAAATGTAGCCGTCACACATAACAGTGGAGAAGTTTAAGAATCATTATTTTGAACTTTAAAACATGGCATTCAATTCTAAGTTAACATGTCAACTTTAATTCAATAGAGTGTTTCTATTCATTCAACCTGAGTGCTTTTATGAATAAGGCAAAGCTCCTATCTTTGAGACTTTTAACCATTTTCACAGGATTAGGAAGTAAATAAATATACCTATATGTGGAAAGCAAAAAGTGAAACGTGACTTTGGAAAAGAATAAATAGCTCAATAGGAATACAAAAAAGAAGTAGATTAATTTTGGCCAGTAGTCCTGGATTTCTGTGGACAGTAATAAAAGCAAAGGAAATTAAAAGGAGACAAGAAAGGCTGTAACAGAAAAGTATGGATATATTTGAAGAATAAGTATGTTCCTGGACTGGCGATGGAGGCAGAGAATTATTAGCATGTTCAAGGCTTACCTCAACAAAACAAAGATTGTTCTTCTTTTGTCTAAACATATGGAGGGTGAGGGATGTAGGTTTGGGTCAGAATAAAGGTGACTTAACTCTGTGCTTAGGCTTTTGGACTTATGTGAGTGTGAACACACTGAAGATTATTGAAAAGCTGAATTATAGACCAGATCTCAAGGCTGAAAGGGAGGATTCATTTTTCTGTAAGCAGGTGTATCCAGGGCACTGGATGAAGTTCATTCTATTGTAGTCCAGCATGTAACTCACTTTGAACAAATAAGTTTCCTTCTTAGGAAACATAGTAAGTAGCATTGGTATTTTGTCTTAATTTCTTTCCATTGTTTTTTTTTTATTTTAATTTTATTGCCAAGGTGATGTACAAAGGGGTTACAGTTACGTAAATTAGGTAGTGGGTACATTTCTTGTTGAACTTGTTATCCCCTATTTCATTTATTACTTAGTAAATTTCTACTGATGCAACTTGTGTTTTAAAATTTATTTCAAATTTTATTAAATAAATTTCTTATGAAAACAATCCATACATATTATTAAGAAACATTTTGGAAAACATGATATTGCCATGTTATTTCTCTCATTTTAAAATGTTTGAGTATGGGAAGCTTTCTGAATACAGACAGGTTAAATATTAATTTCTAGCCATAAAGGGATTTATAGACACAACATTTAAAGATCAAAAAATCACCTCTTCATAATGTGATTTTAAAACTTTTTAAGATGGTCAAATTAATAAAGTACAAGTTAAGAGGAGGTTTCTTTTTTGCTAACTAGTAAGATCCAGTAAGATCATCCTATAGTAATAAATACAAGAGCCCTTGTGGGAACCAGGATCATCTTTAAAGGGAAATGTCAGTACTGTCTTTGTCCTAAATTAATATGTATAGCTAGC